AAGAACGACATAGCTTCTTATATTAGTGAAAGCATTCTTACGTTTAATGATATTTATTAAAGAAGTAGTCATCAAGAAAATAATTCTAGATGCCAATGTTCAGGAAATTTGGCTGACAGACTTTATCAAATGTTACATGGCTCTACTACCTTTTATCATGGGAATGTCTACTGGGCAGATAAGCCTATAAGATAATCTCTTATACAGGTTGTGTATGTGCTGTGAAAAGGGAACCTCTGAAATAGACTGTGTTTCATATTCTTTCTGATAAGGTTATATGTATGCCCAAGACTGTGGTGAAATATTTTATTGGTTGCTACAGTGAAGTGCAATAGATCGCAACTTATCTTTCTTCTGACCTTAAGTATAAATGAAAGACAATAAATTTATTTCAAGGCTTCACAGAGAATAAGCAAGGCTAACCAGAATAGAGGTTTAAAGCCTCTTCCAATTCACATTCAGAACCAAGGCAAAGTAAGAAAAGAAAGGAATTAGAATTTCCCTTCCTGTTTTTAAATTACATTTATTAGTAGTGACCATTTGTATTGTTTATCATGTTTTATTTTGGCTTTTGAGGAAAAAAAAGAGAAGGGGCAGCATTGACAATAGAGGTCCATCCTTTACCATGAATGTATGAAAGCTTCTAAGTTCTCAAAATTACAAATGGAAAATTTTGAGCTTGGAATAAGGCATGTGTCAACAGAGGTTAAATAAATGACACAAACAGAGCTTCAGAATTGAGCTGAAGAGCGCTACAATGTATATATAACAAAGTCTAGGCCCACAAACACTGCCAAGCAGTGAACTGCCATGTCTGTTTACACACCAAACTTAGGAACTTCTTTCTAGTTTCCTCTCAGTGAAATCTGAATCCCCAAACTGCGGGGTTCAGTGTTAACATTTATTTCTTCAGTGAATAGTGACTATTCATGTAGATCCTTCCTAAGAAAGCCTGGAAACATGACTGTTGCAAATCCTCTTACTGCAGATTGGCACTCTACTTTAAAAACATAGGGTGATGAAACACGATTAAAAGGACTGTTAAAATAAAACATCCTGGATTCTAATTGCTGTAATCAGCAAAGTAAACATGAGGCAGCCAAGCAAGAAAGCAAAATCATCTCTCTGCCTATCATCACAGGTTCTGGTCCACCCAACTCTCTAAAACACACACTACCATTTGAACAGTGCATACATAGCAAGTGACTAAAGAGATATCTAAACCATTCTAGAGTTACACGAGGGCAGAGCTGTATTGAAATAGAGCCTGTCTGCAGAAATGGAATGCAAATAACCGCAGTGGTCTTAAAACTTACTTTGTGTACTCTTATTTATTTTCAAGTTTTCTTATTTGATTAGTTTAATCTCTGCATCTCAAGGTAACTGAGTCTTTCAAATCTTCTTTGTAGTGTGACAAAAAAAAAAAAAAGTAACAGATTTTGTCAGTGCTTGTACTTTTTTTCCAGCCAGCTTTCCTGAGAATTGGTAACACATTGCTTAATTTCCCATTATTTTCTATTTCTTTTCTTCTTCTTTTTTTAAGTGGAGGGTGTGTTACCTCTGGCATAATAATGTAACCTCCATAATTTGCTGTAGAAAATGGTTTTCTTTAATTTTTGATGTCATTGCAAATTTAAATGCATCATTTTATTTCATGCATTTAATAATATGTTAATGTAGTAAAATAAGTTTTACTTAAAGTTTTTGCCCTTTCATCCCAAATAGTTTTATATTTTTTCCAGAAAGTAGGAAATACATAATAATAAAAGTGTGAAATGATGGTAAATCATTTCTGTCCCTTCATTTCATAGTTCCTTCCTCCACCACTGTGTAGTGGTATCAATATGTGACATAATAGTGACCTTTCTCCTCTCTGGGCTTGCATAGCTTCTCTTCTGTACTTGTCTTTCATATGTATGTCTAAATAAATCTTGAAAGACTCCGTAATAATCTCATGAACAATGTCTTGCAGGAGGTACCACTTTTGTGGTAGTTCAAGGCTAATGAATCCTGGCTTCAGATTTCTCAAATTTCTCCCTCACACATACAACAGTAGGATATGCCAGTGTCAATCCTGAATTGCATCTTTCCTAAAAGTAGGACACATGCAGGGAAAACAGGCCGATGGAGGCACAACCACAACCATTTGCTCTCATCACTTTTAGAGCCAAATTTCCACAGCACTCTCACTTGCTTTGATGCTTCTACTCATTGAAGTCTATCTGAGTTTAAATTTCCAGATAGGTAAACAGTCATGTGGTACACACAATGGAGGATAATCACCTACACATAGAAATGGTAAATCCTAATATTCAGATATGTGTACACATACATTCATAATTAATAACACATGTTGCAATAAAGAATGAAATCTACCTCTGGTGGAAACATCCCATTGTCTCCTCCCTTAAGAGTTAATCTAGTTGGGCCTGTCAGTCATCTGCTGAGAGATAACCACTCAGAAGTTGGCACCACATTAAGCCAAGGTAAATATATGGGAGAAATAATTATCCCTATACTAAGATAACTGACGTTTCTTTCCCAGAATTCCCTTTGCCCAGTTTAATCTCTTATAGGGTTATTGTCATGTAGAAGTGACCTTCTTTTCTGAATAATTCACAAATTCTCTTTTCCTTCTTAACTGTATCTTAAGCATACTTTCCCCAACAATCTGGGGCTCCATTCTTTCTCTAAAACTTCGCTGCAAGCCTGTGGTTGCTAGTCCACTGTGGAGACCCACAGAGGTTTCCTAATGAGAGCTGACCTTGCTTTACCCAGGAGGTAAAGTGAGTGGAGTGACAGGACCACTGGCGTGGTTACCAGGTGTTTAGAAGAGTCTGCACATGGCTGTGCAGTAAGTATGCTTTGATCTAGCAAGGGGGAGGTCTTTTGTCCCACCCTTTAGCATTGTTATAAAACACCCTTGAAGAGACAGAAGGGACTGGTGAATTTTGATCCGGGTTCTCCTGAAGCTATCATGTGTTTCTGTCTGTCTTATCTCTGCTATCTTTCTATCTAAACGTTTCTTATTTCTCTCTCCTCCTCATAGGAACCCTTTGAGGTGGGAGCTGGCCTCCTACAGTCCACCATGGGGCTGATCTTCATGTTGGCTTTTCTCTTCCTATCTTCTTCCTGTGAGCGGCAGTCAAGATTTCCAGTTACCTGACCTGGGTTTGTTTCTTTTAAATTCTAATAAAATTGCCATCAAGTTTCCTTGAACCTATTCTTAAAATCTTCCACCTATTAGACTAACAATCCCAAGAGAAGGTATTGTTTTTTCCTGCTAACATGTGGCAACTCCACCAAGATGCCCCCAAAGTTTCTAATAAAATTTTGACCCAGCTCTCCTGTCAACATTAATCTCATTATCATTATCATGGAAAGAATGAACACTTCCTACATCATAACCCCAGTATGGTAGTTTGAATGTAATTGGCCCCCATAAGCTCATAGGGAGTAGCATTAACAGGAGGTGTGGCTTTGTTGGAGTGGGTGTGGTATTGTTGCAGGAAATGTGTCGGAAGTGTGTCATCGAGGAAGAGGGCTTTGAGGTCTCATATGCTCAAGATACCACCCAGTGTCTTAGTCTGCTTGCTGTTACCTGAAAGATGTAGAACTCTCAGCTACCTCTCCGACATCATGTCTGCCTGCACACCATCATGTCCCATCATGATGACGATGGACTGAACCTCTGAAACTGTAAGCCACCACCTCAATAAATATTCCTTTATAAGAGTTACCTTGATCATGGTGTTTCTTCACAGAAATAGAAACCCTAACTAAGACACCTGACTACAGGCCAGAGTTGATTTGGAAAGTTTACATGACATGAAGAAGAGGCAAATTCTCAGTTCCTCCCTTGGCAATTTCAAAACCAGCATCTTTCCAATATCTGAGTGTGTAACTGGAAACTCAGGAATTCCCAGGCATGTTTTCTAGGTTCCCAACAACAGTCATTTGTTCAGTCTTCTTTATCTTTGCAGCTTCCTTCTGGAATGCTTTCTTAGACTGCCAAAGCTGATGGGTCAAAGTTATCTCCTTCATAATTTCCTTTCAGTTTGAGTTCTAAGTGAACTTTGAACTCTGCCAATCAAATATACTTGAAGAAGACAAGAATTCAGAAATGAATTTCGGAGAAGGAAGATGGTAGTTTTACTAGTGGAGAAGGAAGATGGCAGTTTCACCAGTGCAAACTGGGGGAGATGGTGGCTCTTTGACCAGCTTTGATACATTAGCCTCCAGCAGTTTTCTTGGTAGCACAGTTCTGAAACGTAACGTTAACAACCACTCTTGGAAACTAAGCCCAGGTTCTAACTTTCCATCTCCCCAGTAAATCATAAATTACTTAATAAACTAATGAATCTCTTTCTCATGGAACTAGCTAAGGGGATTGTTTTCTAAAATCATCCTTGGGGCAAAATTGATCTGTAGTGAGAGAGGAGTAGAGAGAAAAAGCTGAAAGAAGACCAATGCTTTCCTGGCTTCCTAGATCCAGTGTGTCCTGTACCAAGAAGCTAGCCCATTTTCTTTGTTTGGTTGGCTGTTTCTTCATAAACTGTCCCGGCCAACCAACTTTACTTGCTGCTTTTAAATTAGTTTTGGTTTGGTTTCTATCAATTTGACTAATAATAATAATAACTTATTATGAATAATTAAAACTGATACTGATTAAATGCCCATCTAATTATTCAATTATAAATTCTAATATGTATTTCTCAATGAGCACTTTAAATATTTGCATTCAAAATTCCATCTCTTTAAGAAAATGCAATTTTACAAACGTTAATTCCATTCAACTATACCCAAGGAATACCCTGCTAAGCACATTGATTACCTTCTTAGGAGAAAGGGCAACAGTGAGTGCTTAAGCATATTTCTCACAGGCCGTAGAGGTTTCCTTTCATTGATGAACATTAGCCACCAAAAGATACACACAGGGTCTTAAGGACTTCAAAGGATACTGAATATTGGAAGATTCAACTACTTGATCAAGTACTGACCTTTGAGCAAATCTCCTTCCTTCTGTGTCCTACTTCCTTTAGGGACCGGAAGAGGTTCCTACAACAGCAACATCTGGAGAATAAAGATGAGTTAACATGTACAGGGATGTAAAGGGACATTCTGAAAACTTCATGTCATATAGACAGTCTGGAATTAGTATGGGGCAAAAAAACAATTTAGTCAAAAAGTACATGAATAAACAAAAAAATATCAAATGTCTTTTTCATAAAAATCAAATGTCTTTACTAACATGAGTCATTTCTACTGAAATAGCAAGGAAGAGGTCAAATAGAATTATTTGCGTCAAACTGTATATGTGTATCTGTGTGTGTTTCTCTCTTTGTATGTATCTGAGTAATGTATATGCATGTATTTGTATTTATCTGTGTGTGTTTGTATATCTGTGTGTCTATGTGTGGTTATTTTTACTTTGGGCATAGGACTTAGTCTTAAAATGCATTTCAAAGGAGAAAGCATTCTCCAGCTTAAATTTAGCTTTGGAAAAATCAATGGAGAAGAAATGATTGTTTATCTTCTCCAGCATATAACCACAGCATTTATAATCTCACACAGCAAAAGATTCTTTTTCACAGTTGGTGAGCCTCTGTCTAGAACAAATCAAATTTATCATGTCCATTTTGTATTTTGTTGTCTTGTTCTGTAACTGATGTGTTGGTTTTGAAATCTCAGTGACCCTACATCTAAACCATGAATTTTCAAGAAAGAAATATGACTCATCTTTCCACATTGTATTTTGTCCTTTTATTTCTTTTCCTTCTGGAAAAAAAACATCTGTAAAGATTTTATGATGTGAGTGACAAGGTCAAAAATGTTTAGTGATTTTGCGTTAGAATCTATCTTACTGTTAAACAGAGGGGTACCAATTTGAGAAATGTAATGGACTACCTCATTTTAAAATATCTCTGTCTCCTTATACTAGAAAATTCAGACAATCCTTATTTCATCATTGATAGTGTTAAGCCTATAGAAGACTTCTTATGAAATAATTATTTTTTAGAAACAACTTTGAGCATAAAGAAAATTGAAAAAAAAAACCACAGCCATTAATAGATGTCTATGATTTATTTACTTACTTATTTATACTTTGCCTCTCTGTTGTTGTGATAAAGCATTGACTAAACACTTTTAGGGGTGAAGGGGGTTTATTTGGCTTAGAACTTATGCTTCCCAATCAAGAGAACAAACTCAAATGGAAGCTAAAGGACTTTTTATTTTTTTAGCTTAGTTTAAAAGAAAAGCCAAGCTAGAAACCCCATCCAATGACTGAGGGATCTGGATGCAGAGATCCCGGGTGGAGCTCCGGGAGTCCAATTAGTGAGAAAGAGGAGGGTTTATATGAGCGAGAATTGTTGAGACCAAGGTTGGATAAAGCACAGGGACAAATAGCCAAACGAATGGAAACACATGAACTATGAACCAAGGGCTGAGGGGCCCCCAACTGGATCAGGCCCTCTGAATGGGTGAGACAGTTGATTGGCTTGATCTGTTTGGGAGGCTTCCAGGCAGTGGGACCGGGTCCTGTGCCCATTGCATGAGTTGGCTGTTTGAAACCTGGGGCTTATGCAGGGTCGCTTGGCTCGGCCTGGGAGGAGGGGACTGGACCTGCCTGGACTGAGTCTACCAGGTTGATCTCAGTCCTCAGGGGGGGCTGGGGGGAAGGGGAGGGGGGCGGGAGCGGGGAGAACAAGGGAATCCGTGGCTGGTATGTAGAACTGAATTGTATTGTAAAATAAAAAAAAATGAAAAATAAATAAATAAAAATGAAAAAAAAAGAAAAAAGAAAAAGAAAAGCCAAGGGACAATCGAGCTGTAAAAACCTCAGCAGATGCCCAGAGAAAAATGGAGGTGAGAAGGGAAAGTCTATGCCATGTTAGGCTAGCATGGGGGTAGAAAAGTGGGATCTAGAGAAAGAGAGGGGAAGAGCAAAATGTTGGGGAGAGGGGAGCGAGAGGCAGAGCAAGAAGTATTAAGGAGAGTAAGCTTAGAAAGAGGTAGTAAGAAGGTAAGCAGTCACACACTTTTCTGACTTTAGGAAGCAGGCAGACTTAGGACCTTTACATGGCTGTGGCCCAGAGGGTTCTGTATAAGGGCAGGGATTCTGGGGAAGACAAATCCAGTACATTAAAGAGTGGATTACTCAGTCTGTCTCTAGCATGACTTAAGGTGAGCCCACCCTCGTACAGGTGGTCCCTCAGCCAAAGTAATGGCCAAAAGGCTTTGAATAATCTACATGCTAAGTGATTATCTCATTCTCTAGATGACAGAACAAGGTGGTTTGCATTTCTAACTCTCTGGGGAGCCATTGTCCTCACCTTCACTTTCTGAGTCCAAAGGTAAATTGGTAGGTGGGGAAATGAGGCCTCTCCTCAAGCCTTCCACAGCCCATTTTCTCTTGAACAACTTTCTGAATTGGTGTATGAACTTGCACTACTACCACATTCAGTGCGATTTTCCTTCTTTTTACTGAAAATGGTTTCTCCCTCCCCCGCCTCACATAATAAGTCCCGATTATTGTTTCCCTCCCTCTCCTCCTCCAAGTTCTTTCTCAGCTCCTTTCCCATCCATGTCTGCCCCCTCTCTGTCTCTCATCAGAAAACAAACAGACTTCCAAGATACATATATTTTATTATATATAATATTATATAAAATATATAATAAAATATAATGTAATAAGATAAAAACCACAGTAACAATACAGCAGAATGAAACACAACAAAGAGAAGGAAAAGAGCCCAAGAACAGGCACAGGAAACAGACATAAACACAGAGACCCATTTATTATTCTATACCCAGAAATCCCATAAAAACACTAAACTGGAAGCCATCATCTGTCTATACACAAAGGATCTGTAGCTTAAATAGACAGCAAGAACATAAATAAAATTAAATTAAAATTAATATAAACTTAAACAAACAAATAGACAAACAAAATTCCTGACACAACCTTAGGAGACAAAGGACCTACACTGATAATCTTGAGTTCATTTTCTGTTGGCCAACTACTGCAGGGCATGCAGCCTACCCCTAAGTATAGCTTCTTTCCCCAGTGAGACTCCCTTGGAGGAAACTAAATTTTCATTTGCAAGTGGTTATCAGTTGGAGATAGCTTCTCACGTAGGGATGGCAGCATGTGTTAACTTCTCCTTTCTGCTCTAGGACCCATCTGGTACAGACTCATGCAGGCCCTGTGAATGGTACCTCAGTCTCTGTGAGTTCCTATGTGCATAGATCATAGTCATTTTCCTTGATTGGTTGTTCTCATGAGTCTAGGTTGTTTGGGGATTCGTATTATTTGGTGATTTCATTTAGATCTCCTTCACATATGTATATACTTTAGGAAGCTACTACTGTATTAGATTTTCATACTACCTCTCAAATGGCCCTTAATTTTAGCACTCTCTCTCTCAGTATTTCCAAATAATGGGGAAGACAGACTGGATATGTCTTGTCATCCAATGAAGCTTCCAGTACTGAGAATGTGCTGCATCTGGTTGAGTTGTTCACCAAAGCGGTGCCATGGGAATCCCCAGACAACCCACGCTTTTGCCAAAACTATAGGTTTGTCTACGCAGAATGATTGAACATGGTGAAATCAAACTGGTGCCTACTAGATCCTTCAACTCCACATGCTAACTTCTTTGCTACAGAAAGGTTCTCTGTAGCACAAATCTTAAAAGTTTTTATTAATAAAATCAAACCTGATGCCAGGTATTGGGGTGAATGCTGGAAGATCAGAGAAGCAGGACAAGCCACAGCCACCTAACCTTGCCAGTTCCTCAGCTGATCCTGTTCCTCAGACTGGAAGCCTCTGTATCCTCATCCAGAATGGATCTCAGCTGAAATGTTGCTCAAAAGCCTAAAAGCTTAACCAGGCTCTAGTTCCTGGTCCTCACGCCTTATATACCTTTCTGCTTTCTGCCATCACTTCCTGGGATTAAAGGCTCACTTCCTGGGATTAAAGGCGTGAGTCACCATGCCTGGCTGTTTCTAGTGTGGCTTTAAACTCACAGAGATCCAGATGGATGTCTGCCTCCCAAGTGATAGGATTAAAGGCATGTGCTACCACTCACTGCCTAACCTATATGTTTAATATTGTGGCTGTTCTCTTCTCTGACCCCAGATAAGTTTATTAGAGTGCACAATATTTTGGGGAACACAATACCACCACAGTTCTCTGCACACTACCAAAGGAAAGATCTAAAAACCAACCCAGCCACAAACTCTTTGATCTATAAAGGTGTCCTGCTAGCAAGATATGCAAGTGCAATGCTGGCACGAAGCTGTGGGAGTAGCTCCACTATCTGATTTGACTCAAGTCTTACTCCATGAGATGGAACCCATACCTGCCTCTGCTCGGGTGACTAAAATCCTGAGACGAGGTAGCCCAGGGACCTAGGGGAAAACCGAATAGTCCTGTTCTACTAAAAGAACTTAGAAGGAAAGTGATTCCTAATGACATTCTGAATACACAACGAATAGGGCCTTGGTCAGCCATCATCAGAGAAGTTTTCCTCCTGCAGCATGTGGGAAAAATGCTGAAACTCATAGCCAGACAATATGCAGAGAAAGAGAAAGAGAGAGAGAGAGAGAGAGAGAGAGAGAGAGAGAGAGAGAGAGAGAGAGAGAGAGAGAGAGAGAGAGAGAAAACCTTGTAACATTCAACCATGAACAGGATGTCTCCATCAGATCCCTCCCACCAGGGCTCAGGAAACCCAGCAGAAGAGGAGGAAGAAAGAGTATAAGAGCCAGATGGTGTAAGTGCCTGAACTTACTTCTGGGCCAAAGTTACCTGATATGGCCGGCAAGAAATTAAACCAGATTTGGGTAGTATGGGCCAGTTTTTACTGAGAGCAATCAGACCTTTCATACCTTAATCAGAAATAGAATATAATGGCAATTACCAGGATCAATACGGTTTGTAGTTGCTAGGATACAATGATGTTTGCAAACTTTACAGGGTACACAAGATTAATGTCTAAGACCAATTGTCCTGTCAAGTTTCCATGCTTCCCTGACTACCGAGAGACACAAAATAGCCTGAACACTTCACT